CGCTCCTGCCCATCCTTCTGTCTCGGTTTATGGAATCAACGTTTTAGCGCTCGCGACCGCCCGGGATGTAATTAATCCTCCGGCGCGTTGAAGATGAGGATAGACGTTTATGCGTAAATTCGCGCGCTTTCTTATAACGCCGTGACGGATGGGATCTCGCGTCGCGAGGTAAAAACGCGCGACGCAACGCAGACCGCGTTCCCGTGTTTCCAAGTATGTTTTTATAAATTCGCATATTTTCTTACGTTCGCGCCGCGCGGACGCGTACGACGCGACGTGGCAATACTTTCACGACAACATGGCGAAAATCACCGAAATTCCAATGTCCAAATTATGTAAGTTCACCTTAATATTATTACGACTGCTCGTGTGCTCGTTGCGCGCAAACGGGACGGTTTTCGCGCACGGGAATGCCGAGGCTAACGCAACCGTAAACAGACTCTCTCGAAGGGAACCGAATTCTGTTCGGTCGCGGACAAACGTCCCCCGCGCCACGCTCGCGATTTCTGTGCTTTCGTTACGAATGGAAATTTTTGTTTAATTTCACCAGGAGTGCCGGGCGCCTGAAAAAATAGCGCCGATAACGGCGGCGCATCAGAGCCGCGCCGCTGGCCGCGGCAATAATAATTGTCAACCGCGGAATTGTTGTCCGTCTCCGTCGGACGGAATGTTTTGCCCGCGCTTCTCGCCCTCGTTTTTCCCCATTTTCCGACTAATTTTCGCGTCGCCGCCCTCCCGATTACGTCACGCCGCGCCGCCGCGCCGGTAGGAAGTCCACCGTCCGCTACCGTATTACGATGCATTCGCGGAACGGCCATTTACGACGGGACATCTTCCGCATCAGTTTTAATGATCTGGCGCGAAAGAATGGGACTCTTTTCTACGCAGAAAGTCTAATTGTTGCATTCAGAGTATACGGGCTCTCTCGCCTCTCCTTCTCTCTTTCTCTCTTAAATCGCTCTTACATCGCTTGTTGCCAACTCTCGTGGGTTTTTTCTGTTAGATACGGTGCTCTGCTATTGTAAGATTTAAACGCCCGAAGGTTCGAAAGCGTAAGAATAATCTTCGCCGTTCCATCTCTAATCCTAAGACTCTGGCAAATCATCGGGATTGTTCAGTTCACCGTTCGCTTAGCACCTCGTGAATTCGTAGTGCCCTCTCCCAGCAGCGCGGCGATGCTCCGCTTCCCTCGATAATCGCGCAAATAATTGTAATCGGTCTAATGGAAAGCCAGGCGCGCGCGCGGCTTGAGAACCGCCTAAAAAAGTTCCCTCGGAAAAGTAATCAGCTTAATCAGACGCAGACAATTACGCGTAATTATAGCAGGGAGGACAGGAGGGAGGCGCCATGGCAATTTCTCCTTTCGATCCACTCGCAACGACTCCTTTACGAGGTAACGCGCTTAATGCGAGAGTTAAAACGCGAGCGATAAAACCGAAGTTGACGGCGCTGCAGGAACGAGGCTCATTGTCAGGCTGGAATAAGAGACAGCCTTTCTCGCGGCGCGCTCGTGCGTCGGACGTTATCTTAATATTTCGCGCGAAAGGCAATGAAACTTAAACGGTCGTAGACTCGCGACTGCGTTACGCGCGTCCTTAACGAGAGAGAGATAGCGACGGGGAACTTCGTTCCTTTATAAGCACGCCACTTATGTATATGTAACCGCGTGCGCTGCCTTTCCCCTATAAAATGTGCGCGAACGGACGTTAAATCCCGCGCGTTTAAGCATAATTAGTATTTGCTCGCTCAAAGCTTCGAGCTCAACTGACAGCTGATCGACGTCTTTTACGTCGGTCTCAATCAAGTATACGATGTGGATGTGGAAAGACAAGTTATTCATAAAATTTATGACTATTGTAAATTAAACAAGCTAACCCGAGTGTAAAATCCGCCCTATTTTTGCATAACGATAGATATAAGCGAATTCAAAACTAACAACTGACAGCGATAAGATTAACGATACCCGTTCAGGTAATTAAACTGTAATAATTTCGTTTATAAAATAAGTAATATATACCTAATATATGTGAGGTAGAAGAGCGCAAAAACGGCATTCGTCGCTCACGCAACTTTCCCCAAAAACGCGTCAAATTAATCGCGATCATTTCGAGACTTTGAAGCGTATCGGCCGCCGGTCCCCGACACTCTCTCGCTCGTCCCGAGGATCGGCCTGGCCGTGAGCGTGTAACGTGGGGCCCGCTATCTTTCGTTTCCCACCACGGGCGAAAGGCGACCGCGGCGACGGCGGTAACGGCGGGCAAAAGCAAGAGTCAACGTACGTACGTACGTACGCCTCGGTTCCGCTCCACGACGGCGAGGATACTACCGACAGTGTGCCATCGAAAGGAGTCAGTTTCCGCGTGGTCTCCGGCGCGTCGGTCACGCCAGGTGTCTGTTACTCTCCGCCTGTCCGCTCCGCGTGCGTCTCTCTCTCTATTCACGGCGTGCCACGCACACACACGTTAACACACACGGTGGAGAGATGCGCTCGACGCTCCGCAATGCTCATCGCGCCCAGGCCGCGCTACTCTCGCTGGGTGAGTACGAGACGGATGCAAACTCGCGGCGCGGCGCCGATCCCTCGATTACGGATTAGTTGTAGGAAGTTTACTTGCCGCGCGCGCGTGCGGGCCAATCGGCGAATTCACGCCTCGCTGGGCGCACCGAACTCCCAAAGACGGCGAAGACGGCAAGACGAAGGTCTATAGTCATTGACGCGCGAACTTGGCCGACGTTCTCGAGAAGAAAAGATACGGTCGGATGTAGCTGCCATTGTACGATTGGTCAATTCGGAGATACTGTAGCGCGGCGGAAATGTAACCGGGGCTCGAAGCATCGGTGTGACGCTTGGATGCTCGAAAATCTAATTAATCGATGCTAGAAATAATTAACATATAACATATTATTCAAAAATTAAAAGATTTACGTCCGTTAAAAACTATAACGTTGTGTGATAAAAAATGTAATTTATAAATATAAAAAAATCGATAATTTTTATCAGAAATCATAGATTAAAAAGAATTAAATATTAAATTATTTTGTCAAAGTTAAAGGATGATCTTGATCAATTTTCGACGATGCAATAAACATGCTTGAAAAGACATCGAGATGCCAATCGCGAGATAACATGATCGCTCAGTGTAAAGCGCATATTCGACGTAAACACGCGCTCCCTGACACGTGCCGAGGTCCCCGGGGAATCTGTCGAGAATCGAGGGCAACTGGTTAGCACCAGCTACATCGTCTATATACCCGTATGCACCGAGAGAGAGAGAGAGAGAGAAAGCTCAGAGTGCCGTAAACCCGGCTGTATCGCATCTCCCGACTGACGTCAGGCGTCGTCCCGGGCCGTCGACGACACCGACGCCGACGCCAACGTTGACGGCGACGACGGGCAACGGCAGCGCGTCAGAACACCACGGGGAAATCAAGCGTCCTCCGCTTTTATTTGCATAAAATGATGGGACTGACCACGTCACGTTCGAAACGTCGACCTCGCTGATTTTCCCTGCGAATTTCATTATTCCCCGGCACATCTGCCGTCCCCCTCCCCGCGGCCCGAGACCGCGCGTTGGATGGTACTTCGATTCCGCATTCGGAAACAACAGGCGACGATCATTAAGCCGGATGCAAATGGAATGGAGTACGCGCCAAGAAATTCCCCGGCGTAAATCTTTTTCTCCTGTCGCGTGACGCGAGATTGAATGGAAACGCGCGCGAGACGCTGAGTGACTCGAGAATGGGAAAGAGAATGCGACTGCGAGTTAACGAAAAGGATTGAAGAATGCCAAATCTATCGAAGATAAATATACGTATTTATCTTTGTTCCCGTGCACTACAGTACAAATATAAAAGAAGAGTGAGCTTGCGGACGAGGAGAGAATAGGACGAAGAACTCGAGGGTTCCAAAGACCCCACTTGCTTTCAAAGACGCTTGTGAATAACGTCCTGCAGTACTCCGCGCGCGAAGGATGTCAAGGCAGGTGGCTCAAGGCCGCGCTTTTTCACTCACCGCTTACGTAATCGCGCCAATTTCACGCGAACTCCCCTCGCGTTACCTTTCCATTTTTTTTCCTCGCTCCAAGCGCGCGACGCGTCTCGCGAAATCCATGACGGTTGAATAGCGGCCGCAACGCACCGCGAAATGGGATTATGTCTCGAATTCGCGGTCCAAGCCCGACAGCGCAAACTAATTCGCCGCACGGATATTTTTAATTCGCGGGCGAGCAGTGTACCCGCGTGCGGATCGGGGGGAGAGGGGGGAAAAAATCGCTTTTGCCAGCGATTGTAACCGGCGAGCGTAACCGGTACGTGCGCCTGTACAAACATCATCGGGCCGATGGCTCGGAATCCCGGACCGCCCGCTATCATCCGGCCTGTGCTATCCCAACCCAACGCCGGCACTTAATCCCGGCAAATATAGACGGAATTCCGCCAGCATTGTTGCGCATACGACGAGCAGATTTGAATATTACCGTTGCGCACGCATCACGCTAATCGCTCTCTCTGTCGCTTCGGCTATACTGCGATTAATTATCGGCTGAGCGCGTAATCCAGCTCTCTCTCGCGCGCGCGCGCGAGTGAAACTCGGGATGAAATCAATTTTCGTCGAATCCAAATCCTAAAAGCGTTATCCCGGCCGATCGTCAGCGCGCCGTGCACTGCATGCCGCGTGTTCGACGCCGATCGGATCTCGTCGGTGTAAATCCTATCGAAATATTAACGCCACGCAAACGTCGAGAAGTGGAAGTTGGATCTTGACAGATAAAAAAAAATCTACCGCTCGGTAAAATCTGGTTCAGCAAAACCTAAATCTCGTAACTTCGTTCCACTTAAACTTATGTATCTATTGAGATCCGAATAAATTAGATCGTTTAGAAGCGATACGAGTAAAAATTTTTCACGTGAAAGATAAATCCTGCTCCCGATGTGAACGGCATATATAGATCTAAGATACTGTCTTGGAGCAACTACAAATTAAATGAAGGGGAGTACGTGGCCGCTAACTCTGACAGTTAATTCTGGAAGCTCGCCAAAGTAAGGTCCCGGATATAAATGCGCAAATGGGTGAAAATCAAGGAGCTGAAATATTTACGCGGAGGTCTAGACAGGAGATATTACGGTAAACAGTAGATTAGCGGATCATTCGGCGATCGCGTGTCCTCGGGCTCTTCGGGAGATGGGAGGATTTAGGTGCCGCTTCGCGATTTAAAATCCATGTAATATTGGGTTAATGCGAATAGCAAAATCTCTTTGAATCCCGTTGCTACTACCGTCGCGCACGCTACCTCTCGAAGTAGCGAAAGTACGTACGTATCCTTTGCGGGAATCAAACGTCGACGACGGCGGATCACCGATGAATTTTTCAACGTGCTTAAACCAGAAATCCCCTGCACCGAGAGAGTTGCCGCACGTAATGTGCGGTATAGCGGCGTCGATATCGATGCGCTCGGGGGGCGTATCCATTAAATCGGTCGATACCGATGGTATTGTAAATACGATACGTGAGCCAAAGATCCTTACGACCGCTCGTACGGCAAACGCTGACAAAGGTCTTCAGAAAACTCCTCCGCGCGCGCGCGCGCGCGTCCTTCCTACTTTCCTCCCCCGCCTCTCCTTCGCGTTTCATTTCTGACTTTGCTGCAGGAAAGACCAGCCCTCGTACACACGTATATAGGCACATGCAACCATGCCCACACATGGCACACATACACGCACGCAAACGTCTCTCCCGATCGTGAAACTCTATGACGACGGTGGTGTTTCATCGTGTTACGTGCTGGCTTCGGGTCGTTTTTCCTCTTACAACGGAATCGGTTTCCGCCGACGAGGCGACCGTAAAATTTAACGACGTTAATTTGGGGCCCGCCGGAACCCGCGCCGTCGCGAAACAGCCGAGTGTGCGGGAGGGGCGGGGAACGGGGAAGTAAAATCGAACCTGCTAATTTGTTGGAACTTAGGTTTAAAGTGTATTAAGTATCTAAACACGTTGACTGCTACTGTACAATCAGATAACGTTGTGCCAGATGCTATTTTTATATCAATATATTATTTTAATGTGTTACTTAATTATTCTTATTCTTTATTAAGATATAATAAATATTTTATTTCCCCTCTCTAAAAAATCAAATCGACAAAAAATTGGAGTTTTTTACAGATTTTCAATTACGAGTTAACTCGTATTTGGCAGTCAACATGTTAAATAAAACATTATTCATAAATACAACTTCAGCAAAAAAAAAATTAATATTCATTACTTCAAGATTGAGATTTCTAAATTCCGGGTATCGTGATGATCTCATTGCACAAAAATAAAAAAAAGCAAGTCTCGATATGCGAACAATAAAACCGGTAGACGATCGTCATTAACGTCGCGCGAGCCTGAAACTTCCAACGAATATAATCATATAGATGGCTTTCGTATTTCCGGCAGTATCCGGAACTGACTGAAGTGAAGAGATCCGGAGACGAGTCGCGCGAAAGTTTATTAGCTGCAATGGGGCTGCGGCTTGAATCCCGCGCGACAAGGAGTAATTTAGTATTCGCAACAAGTTTCTCACGTCGGTAACGAAATATCGGGGTGCACGCACACGTGTGTCGTCTCGCGGCTTTCCGCGCCGCGGACTCGGCAGGTTTACTTACCGCGCGCGCGGAACCACGCTGGAATGCATTAATGAAGAATAAAGAAAAAGAAAAGGGAAAAAAACGGTGAGAAAAAAATGGAAAAGAAAAAGGTGCGGGGTCTCCCACTCGACGGAACGCGTGTCGCGTGCGATTTGTACGGCGCCGAGACAAAAGACGGCACGCGATATCTCAAGGCATCACGATAAAACAACGCCAATTTCGCTCGCGTGTCGACAACGAGACGTGGAACACACGGGAAGCCCGAGCGACGGCACGTCCCCGTGCGGCGCGTACGTGGGAAATCCTTGTTAACGCGGCGCGGATCGTCGTTGCGTCGCGATGATTTTCATGCGTTCCACGAGTATCCCGCGAATTTCATTTTTTTTTCTACTTTCAAGACCGCGCGAACGCACGATATTCCTTTGTCTCTCCGCAAGATTTGTAAACCGATTATACTGTCCTCGTCAATTTAACCCGCGTGCGCGCCGAATTGCAATCTCGCAATCTCGCTCCGTCTCGCCCGTTTCGCTTTGAGAAAACGAGCGGAACAATGTATTCCTATACATTTAATTGACAATAAAAATCACGCGAGAGTCACTTTCTTTCGGTTGATATATATGTGAAATTTTTAACAATGCCTCAATTTCTTCGATTGCTCTTGTATTTCCTTTCGAGCGCCCGCGTTTTTGACGTTTCACAAGCGTGGCCTCCGAGAGCGTGGAAAAACGCCGCGAGCTCCGACGAAATAACAAGTATAAATGTACCGGTGGGGACGGAAGTACGTGTAAAAGCGACGACGTGTTCGGCGAAGATCGAAATTGCGCGACTCGCCGAGTTTTTTTTTTCTTTTTTCCCTCTTATTTGCCGGAGAGTAGTTCGCGTTCGGTTCCCGTGCATATAAGGTTTCGCGCGT